GTGGATGAAAAACATAAATGGCCAAAAAGCATGCTTTGCTAGCTGCTCACTGGCTGCCAGCAGGCAATCTTATTCCAAACCTTTTGCATCCATTTCCAGAACTAGACTTTGCTGAGACTCAGACAGTGCACACCTTGGCTTGAGCTTGGCTATAGATATATGTTTCCTAAATAGGTGGTAATATTGTAAGATGAAAGTTAATTTTTAATTCTTCTATTTATTCATAGCACTAAACTGGATTAAGTGGCCATCTTGACCCAAATCCTGACTATCTTATGTCAGTTGTCTTGACGTGACTGTCTTACGTCCTCACTGTCAAGTGGCTCTGATTACTTTCCCTTTTGCTGTACTCAGCACAGTTGCAATGACTCATTTAAGTTCAGACTTCCTGACTAGACGATAAGCTCCTTGAGGGCAGGGAAGATATGCATAATGTACAGCACAGAGCAGGTATGCAATCAATATTTGTTGAATGAATGGATGGTCATCTCTCTCAAGGACTGATACCCAGAGGGAGCCCGGTAGACCTCTTAAGGAGCTAAGGATGCCATCCTAAGCTCCATCCCTTGGCAGCCAGCCCAGTTCTCTCCTGCCCAGGCTTATTGTCATAAAATACAGCACAGGAAGATGGAGAAACTCAGCAGTCACTGGTCTATGGCCCCGTGTCTATTGTATAAGACAGGACTATATCTCACCGACATGCTCATGCCACTAGCAGAATCTACTTCAAATGTAGTTTCCTAAGAGCAACTGAGAACTATACAGTTTGCCTACAGCCAGTTGGCTGCGAAGTGGGTAGACCCTCCCCGCTTTCCGGGAACCTGACCCCTGGAATGCAGGCAAATGCTAAGGAGCTTCACGGGATGCAGAGCTGGTTTCTGTCCCTGAGAGGGGAACCTGGTAAAGAGGAGGGTCTTCTTGTGTATGTATACACTTTTATTCCTTCTTACATTGATCAGCTCCTACCATGTGCCTACACTTGACAACTACTGTGAATTCAAGGTGAATAAGACAGTCTCTGCCTTGAAGCAACTTGTGGCCCAAGGGGGATGAGGGTAGGAGGGAAGACAAGGCAGCAGAGCTACACCCCGTGACGGTCCCACCAGCCTCCATTATAAGAGTTCAGACAAGGGGGATGTCATTTCTAAGACAGATTAGAAGAAATGGCTCCATGAACAAAAAAAAAAAAAAAGATTTATTTTTTAAGTGGCAAGAAGGAAAGAGGAGGTAGAAGAAATGGAAGGATCAAAAGCACAGAAGCAGAAAAACTCACGGCAGGTGCAAATCTGGCATGTAGACTTGTGGGGGGAATCTAGGAACCCACACTCCTTTAGCCCCAACCTGTGGACTCCTGGGTGAAAACTCTGGCGGTTCCCACGACTTAGCTGGTCACTCTAAGGTAATACACAGCTAAAGTCTCTTCAAAACCCAAAACACAGGCGTATTGAGAAATCAAAATTCCCATCCCGTCAAAACTTCTGTCTTGCTTAAAGTCAGGGCTTCTTCCTTTCCCCTCCCCCTACCACTCTCGGCCCTGTTGCAGATTAAAAGCCTGGAATCTGGGAGACGGTGATCATCGGCCTCTTTCTTCTTCATCCAACTCTCCTCCTCTTCTTGCTAACTTCTGACCCTTCAAGATCTTAAGTGCAGGGAAGGAGAAGAGGTAAGGAGAATAGGGAAGCTCTTACTTGGCCCAGACTGTTGTAGTGACCTGCGTTGGTATTCTCCAGATGTGACAAGTATTTAAGGCTTACTATTTCTCACAGGGGGCACTTCTGTGGTTTGTTTGGAGGTCTGCCTTTTTCCCCAGTCCCTCCACTATGGCTGGGAATCTTTTGCCTTGACTAGGGCATAGGTGTCTCCCATCCAGTTGGTCACTTACTGCTTACTCTGCCTTTGGGCATCTCAGGATACCTGCAGCTTCCTTCTGCTGAGTTCTATTTACCCCTCCAAGCAGCCCTTGCAGGCAAGATCTAAAACGACTGACATGGGCTCCTTTGTACACGGGCCCCCTCTAGTGTAGTTTATGTGCAGCCCTCATGCATTTTTTTTTGCCCCAGCAAACTCTGGGAGCGCAGGCCACCCAAAACTGTCACTTCTCCCTTGTTCTGCCGTCAAAGCAGCTAACCACCCTCTTGTTCATACTTTAGATTTTCCAGGTGAGAGATTGACACTAATCCACTGTGCTCCCAAATTGCAGGGGGTAAATATTGAGTACTTGTTATGGTAGCACTAAAACCACTCTCTCCTGAGTTGGGATGAAAAGGGAGCCTTCTTCACAGGAAGGTGAAGTGAGGTGAAACTAATGATACACCAGAAGCACCTTCCCAAGACTCTCTCTTAGGAGTCAACCACCAACTTTTTTATATCCAAAGTCTGGTTGAGGGATTAAGAAATGTGTACCCTATTTTCATCCACGTCTCTTGAAAGCCCTGTATCTCGCTATGCTGTCAGACTTCCCATTGAAATGTAATATCTGTTGCCTCAGGGCTTGAGCCAAATTCCTTTTTAATATTTTGTTGCACTATGTATTATCTCATCTAATTGGCCCTATAACCTTGTAAGGTAGATAAAACAATTCCCTTCTTAGAGAATAGAGAACTGAGCTTCAAATTGACCAAAGTGGCAAGAACAAGTTTTGAATCGAGATCTCTCAGACTCTAGAGCTCTTAGACCATCCTAGGAGGATACATGTGGCTCAGCAAAAGTACTTGATAAATATCCATTGAATGATTAGAAAGTTGATTTGTCTAGATTATAGAGGAATGTGAATGGCTTGATATTAATTGATAGGGAGTAAGAAACCATTGCAGAGTCACAGATGGCAGTGATAAACAGGAAAATGTGACAGAGATATACTGAAGAATTTAGAAGGGAGAAAGAATGGATAGGGAGGGGCACTTTTGGAGGCTATGGAAAGAGTACAAAGAGAAAGTTATAGAGGACGTGGTGAATGTTACTTTAGAGTCATGAGGATAGAAGCCAGATTGAAGGAATTTAAAAAGAGAATGGGCAACAAGGAAATAGAAGCAGTGGTTACGTACCAGTTATCCAAAATGTTAACATCTGAATGGAGGTACAGAAATAGGTTGCAAGCCACAGGAGCTAGCAGGATCAAATAAAAAATATTTTTCCAGGATAGGTGAAACCTGATCTTGTTTGTAAATAGAGGAGCCAGAAAGTAGAGAGACTCTGAAGGTGCTGAAGAAAGGAAGAGCTGTTATTGAGAGCAAGGACGAGGGTAGCAGGGTGGAAAGAGAAGGGGTTAGAAGAAAGTGAAGGACACATCTTCCTATAAGACAGGGAAGGAAGAGAGAAGGTAGATAAATAGATAATTATGCTGTGGGGAAAAAAAAGAGTTGAAGGAGATTGCACCTGGTACAGTAAATCTTTATCAGTAAAGTAGGAATCAAAATAATGGATCGGGAATTGGGGACCAAGAGGTGACAGCATCAGTGATTGAGGAAGAGTTTGAAACACCCATTGTGCTATGTGTGTTAAGAAATCAACTGTGGAAATCACCAGTGGATGAATAAGTACCATGAACATGAACCATCCAGGACATTAAGGTTCAACAGTCCAAATCAGCAATATTCTGTGGCCAGGGAGCAAAAGGAGAAAAAGCATGTAGCAAGCATTGTCCCAAGCTGGTCACTGCAGAATAATGAGCTGAGGGCTGAGAGGGTTTAGTTAGCAAGAGTAGGATTAAAATTTCCAGTCATGGCATCCAGACTGCTCAAGAAAGCCAAGTGGGACAGTGAAAAAATTTAACAGATTTGTGAGATTATCCTGGGACATGCAGTGGAGACAAGTATTTGCTACACTGGATTTGGGAAAATGGGAAAGGTATAAGCGAAGAGGTTATATGGTTATATAGACCAGGCTTACCAGGCTCAGCGGTGGCCTTCTTAGTGAAGGGTTGATATGCAACAGAGCCGGGAGTCTTCTGCTTCAGTGCCTCATGGTACGTAACCTCTTCGATCAAATTGTGAGTCAAACATGAGTTTAGAGTCTAGGAGAAAAGCAGTAGTGGTTTACAGAGAAGCATGTCTTCAAACAATGAGAATCAGAGAAAAGGAGGGATCATAGCTGATGAAAACTCCAGGTTGCCATAGGACATAATTTATCTTCCTTTCTATAATAGCCATTTTTATTACAGGATCTGAACAGGAATATTTAGGACAATGATATGCTGTAGTTGTCCTAAGTTTTAAATGTTGTTTATAGATTGTCTATCAAACATACAACCTCTATTATTTTAAACACAAAGACCAGAGACCTTGTTTATAGTATATACTGCCTCTGGGCATGACTGTACTTAAACTTTCTGAGATAGATTAGTTACAGTTCCCTTTCACATGTCTTAGGGTACAATGCCATAGAAACCTATAATAAAGACACAATGAAAACATATATCTTGCTTTAGAAAAAGTGTGCGCCCTTATTCTGACAGATACCACATTAAAAGATCTTTATAGGTAGATTCTTATCTCACTTTTGCCCACCAGTGACCACAGGTATCAAGTCATAGGGTCTCCAGTTAGCTAAGACATGACATGGTACCATTCAAATAAGATTATTACACTCTTTGGGGAAGGAATAAAAATCAATGATACCTAAATCACTAAAAGAAATTGAATCACAAAATCACTTGCCCAAGGTCACAAAGTGAATTGGGGCCACAGACAATAATCTTTGGGTCCTATTTAGGAAGTTCATTTAATATCCTATTGATCTCGATATACCCTTAGAGGCAGAGTCTTGTGAAATTTAAGATGATGATATCAACCTGAACAAAGTTCCAAAATTGCCCATCAGTTTCCGCCTCTCACCTCCTTGAACCTTGGTGAAAGCCACTTTGGGAGACAGCGAGTGAGATCAGGCTGTGGGTGACCAGCTCTCCTCACAGGGAAGACCTTGGCTGAGTCTCCAGCAAAATCCTTGAGAATTCCAGGAAGGTAAGTAACACCTAGTCCTTCTGGCTCTTCTCTCCCTTGCAGCTCCGAATGTCCTGGCTCATCCGTGGAGTGCTGCAGGGAAATGTCTCCTTGGTGCTGGTGGAGAACAAAACCGGGAAGGAACAAAGCAGAATGATCTGGCATGTTGCCACCACGGAAGGCTTGAGCCTGTGGCAGTGGACGGCGCTGCCTCTCCTTGATGTGGCTGACAGGTGGGCCTTTACCCAGCCCCATCAATCCCTTTTCCTGTATCAGCCAAAATGCAGAGGGGCCCTTGTCTTCCCTCCCCCTATTCCTTCTACCCAAGACACACATCCAGATATGCACAGACACGTGCACACACAAATGTGCACACACATTCTTCCTGCAGACTTACAGGAAGCACTGAGTTTCTCTGAGGGGTTTCCATGCTAATGAGATGAGTATCTCTCACACCTCTGGCCTGGCCTGATTGGCTGCCTCCAGTATCTGTAGGAAAAAGTAAAACCGAACAACTCATATGACCCCCAAAGAATAATCAGCCTTTATATGTATATGGCATTTTCTCTTAATTAATGGATTTTGCCTTACTTTTCCATCTGACGTTCTATTTATTCCTTATTAACAATAAGAAAACCTGTGACATAGGTAGGACAGACCTTATGGATCCTCATTCCTGCCCTTTTACAGGGTTCTCCTTCACTGAGAACCAAAGAGGTGAAGCAACAGCAAGTCGGCATTGGAGTGAGGACTGGTGCTCTGGCCAATCCCAGTCTGTGCTCTGTGGAGCCTGGTCCCCAAAGCAGGTGGATGAGAAATTCTTCAGTAAACAGGGGAGTGCTTCTACCAAAGGCCCTGATTCCTAGTTAGATTCTAGGACTAATGCCCTTTGTAACCTTGAACTTCTCTGGACCTCAGTTTCCTCATCTTTAAACTGAGAGGGTTGGACTAGAGGATCATTAACTCCGCGTGGCTCAGAAATGGAGCAGTAACTTCTCTGCTCAGCTGCCACTTGTCTCCCCAGGATGGCACCAGTCTGCCACCTGCAGTCAGCCTGGAGCCAGCAGTGCCTGACCAGCACAGTTGCTAATGTGATGCTCCGCTGTGTCACACTGAACTCTCGACAGTTGGTGCTGGTCTGTTCCAGACCAAAAAGTGACGGGGAGAGAGGGACTCATTTATATAAATGGGACAGAAAACTGGATCTGGAAGGGATCTTTAAGCCTTCTTTAATAGGCTAAATGTCAAACCCTACAATCCAGAGCAGCCTCTGCTTTTGACTCCCCAATACATTCAAATTGCTGTTCTAGTGGATCCTTCGAAAAATGAGGGCAAAGAGCTTAAGGCAAAGTGGAGGGTGATGCCCGTTGACACACAGCTTTGTAAATATATAGCTGGGTCCCAAACTCTTCACCCAGATTTCAGAGTCTGCTATTTCCAAGAGCTCATAACTCAAGCTGTGCTGTCATAAGATGCCATCAACCTCTGAGCAGCAGCTTCCCGCTCCTTCAGACGTGTGTGGGTTAAAGATCAAAGCACTTGGACATCCCAGGGCTCAGTGCTGCCCCCAGGACAAATGGATTTAATTAAAATGGAGGAAGGGGCAGTGTGGGCGCCCTCACCATAGACTAGTCTTTTGTCCTTCGGGATTGCAGGGGCTCGTGTGCAGGGCATGGGGAACAGGCGGGTAATGCCAGAGTCCTCCCTCCTGGGAAATGCTAAATTAATTCAGATGAATCAAAAGGTTTTTTTCTCTTCGATCCAGCAAGTCCTCCCTCTTTCATAGCCACTCCAGGGGATTTAAGGCAAGTAAGATGTTGACTCTGTTCACTCCCGTCGGCTAGAGTTTTGCTTGAAGGAGACTTTGTTCTCAGCCTCCCTCCTTCCTGTTAAAGGCTGTTTACCAGACTGACATTTCCAATACTGATATTGAGACCAAACCATCCTGTGGGGATTCAGACAAAGGCCAGCTTGGTTGAATGATGCCTCGTGACCTAATAAACGTGCAATTACACAAGTGGCCCCATTCACCGGGCGCCTGCCCACCACTGACATGCTCTGATGTGGGATGCCGCCCTCCCCACTCCCTGGAACTAGAGATGATATAGGAGGCATCAAGACCCAGAGGCAAATGGAACTGCAAGAGAATGAGGCAGAGCAGCTTTCACTTGCTAAAATCCAACTAGGCTGTAGATGTGACTGCCCCATAAAACTAAAGCAGACCTGTGGATGACAGAGCATAGGCTTTAGAGTCAGAGAGTCCCAAGTTTAAACACTGGCTCAGCCACTAACTAGTTGTGTGACCTCGGCCAATTACTGAACCTCTCTGGGCCTTGGCACCTACATCTGCAAAATGAGTATAACATCAGTACAATTTTACAGGATTATTACAAAACTAAATAAAGTAACTGTCAAAAGCATCTATGTGTAGTACATGTTAGTGAAGTTTATTTCCCACACCCTGCATCATCATCCCTTAGTTTTGTGGCCTCAGTTAATTTATTGAATAAGTGGCACAAATCACAACCACTGATCTTCCAAGTCAAGTCATATTCTATTATTTTTTAAATGTATTTATTTTATTTATTTATTTTTGGCTGCATTGGGTCTTCTTTGCGGTGTGGGGACTTATTGCAGTGGCTTCTGTTGTTGCGGAGCACAGGCTCTAGATGTGCGGGCTTCAGTAGTTGTGGCATGCAGGCTCAGTAGTTGTGGCTCACGGGCTTAGTTGCTCCGTGGCTTGTGGGATCTTCCAGGACCAGGGATTGAACCCATGTCCCCTGCATCAGCAGGCAGATTCTTAACCACTGTACCACCAGGGAAGTCCCAAGCCATATACTATTAAACAAAGATAATAAAGTCTACCTCTTAGGCTTGGAGAAGTAAAGTGCTTGGTGAACTGCCTGGCTCACAGTAAATGCTTAGTCAGTAGTAACTACTAACAATAACTATGATATAATAATAATAATAATAATATCTCCCCATCTAATGCCTCAGAAAAGGCTAAGATGGCCAGTTTAGCAATAATAACCAGTCATGCAACCCTAAGATGGGGGTACGTGTTCATGTGAATTTGTGGTCGTCAATGCTCTGTAGACATCTTATAAAGGGGAAGCACATACTCCCTCTTACTTTCAGGGAGAGTGAGCTATAGCTGCCCAGATTGCCAGAAAATGAAAATGGGAGGATGGAGAAGGTAGAGGAAGAAAATAAATAAGGGAAAGAGACAAAGAAAATGGATAAAAGGCAAAGACCAACTCCCTTCCTCCCGACCCTGAGATAGACATTGGCACCTTACCATCTGCCCACATGCCATGAAGTGTCATTAGGCAGGTCCTGGCTTCAGCTATTCAGCACCTGCCTCTTGGACAGCTCTCCAGCCATGGACCTTGAGAGGGCAAGGACTTCATTCCCTATGCTGCCCCAAATCACCTCTGCTCCCAGGTTCCCCAACCTCCAGACATTACAAAGTTTTAAAAGCAACTTTATTAGGGCTTATGGATTAGCCCTAAAGAGCTCCCAGGCTCTAGAAACTCATCATAGCCCCTAGACATTACATGAAACTAGCCTCCACCTAGATATGGCAGTGACCTCCTGTCTTGTTTCCTTGCCTCCATTTTTTATCCCCATCCAATCCAGTCTACACAAGGAAGCTGGAATAAACTTTCTGAAATGTAAATCTAATTATTTCTCATTTTTTACATCCTTCCATGGCTTCTGTGGTTTTTAGAGTGCCTTTCAATTTCCTTTAAAGAGACCTTCATTTAGGCCCACATGTGCTCTATCCAACCATAACCTCACCAGCCCCTTTTTATACACTCTTCTATGGCTCTACCTGGTAACCTCACTAAACTTCTTTCAACTCAGTTGCATCATGATAAGTTCTTACTTCCAGGCTTTTGCACCTGCCATTCTCTCCACACGCAATGTTATTCTACCTTCCATCTCCCTGATTACTACCCTGCCTTAACTTCTTAAAGAAGCGTCCCCAGACCCCTAGACTGTATAGTATACATACAGTACAGTCTCATGACTCTTGAAACACCCTTATAATGACTTATCACTCTTTGCTCTCTGTTTTTTATTATCTAAATATACACGCCAACAAGGCAGGAATCAGGCCTCTCTTACATTGCGGTTTCCTGATTGTGTCGTACCATGCCTAACACATATGCCCAATAAATGCATGTTGACACAATAAAGTATTGAGGGAAATTGCATGTATTTTCAAATTCCAGCTGAATTAACTGAGAATTTCACTTATTGGAATCCATCTAATGTGCTTCCTCTGTTCAAACTGCATCTAACAAAACAGATAGAATCACATTTTAAGAAATACTACTACACAGTGTTCTGTATATCAGAACAATACCTGTGTCCCATCAGATGAACCCAAACAGCATTTGTTACTCTTGTGACAGGGAGTTCTCTTTAGAGACTTGCCTGGTACCTGCACTCTCTTTGTCTCTGGGCACTGTCCTGCCACAATCACTTTGTAAGAAAGACTTTGATCTTAATTGTGTGCCCTGGTCCTTGTGAGTAGGGAGACCCAGAACTGGGCACTTGAGAGTAAAGAGCTGTATTCAGATTGCTCCCACCTCACAGTAGTCCTTCTGTCAAGACTCAGAGAATGTGCCATAGGTGTATACAGGCTGCTGACAGGGAGGCATTGATCCATGGAAGGATATTTCTTCTGTCCACTTACAAACCGGCAAAGTGATAGAAAAAAATGCCATAGTCTGTCTTCATCATGAAGTGATAGGAACTTTACAACCTACTATAAATAGTAGCAAGAAAAAGTTCCAAAAGCCGTGCCCAAGATGCTTTGAGCAGTGGCAATGTCCCTGGAGCAGAGACATGTGCTCTCAAGGTAATTTTTTTTAACCTTTCTTTTTTTTTTAATTTAATTTTATTTACTTTTTTATACAGCAGGTTCTTATTACTCATCGATTTTATACACATCAGTGTATACATGTCAATCCCAATCTCCCAATTCATCATCCCACCACCCCCACACCCTGCTGCTTTCCGCCCTTGGTGTCCATATGTTTGTTCTCTACATCTGTGTCTCTATTTCTGCCCTGGAAACCGGTTCATCTGTACCATTTTTCTAGGTTCTACATATATGTGTTAATATACGATATTTGTTTTTCTCTTTCTGACTTACTTCACTCTGTATGACAGTCTCTAGATCCATCCACGTCTCTACAAATGACCCAATTTCGTTCCTTTG